TTTATAAAAAGGAGAACTTCAAAAAGGAAACACACTTTTAATAAGTATTATTTTCATTTTTTTAACAGTCTAAGAATATACTTTTGCCTATTGCTCTGAATTCTGTGAATAAACTACACAACTGTTAAAAAGGAAACAAGATGATTCCTGTGGAGTTTTTTGGGAAGGGGTAGGTAGGTATCGAAGCAATAATGCTGAGGTTTAAAAAAATGTAGAATAAAACATTATTTAAAACAGATTCAAATGGCCATTTTATTAGAAATTGTTGAGCTTTTATATCCAGATTAGGAAAACTCACCATCATACTCCAAGAAAAACTATGCCCTAATCAAATAAATCTTACTGTCATTACAGCCCATACGCAGTTTTGCTACTGTACAATTCCTCCCACTATTTCTACTATTAATATAAGGAATGTTTTCTCTACCACTTGTTCTCTTTTCTTCCTCATCCCAAGACTGCTAAAACTTAATGTGAAACTCTTTTTCTTATTAACCTCATCTAACTTGATTCAGGAATAATTGTCTACTCATTTTGAACTCCTACTTTATTCTTCATTCAAAAATCACAAAATTATAGAGTTAGAACAAACTTTAACAATTATCCAACTTAACTTCCTCCCTAAAAGAAGAAGAAATTCAAGTCAAAATGAAGAAAGTTGCTCAAGGTCCCAGAACTTGTTCAAGGTGAAAGGGTTGGGGCTAATAAAAAGTCATTCACGAGGCTAATTTTTCATTTTCATTCATCATGGAGAAATACTAAGTAATGATTCTGAAGGCAACTGAACTTTAATATTTTTAAATGAATCATTGACACTTTTCACAAAGTATAAAAATCTTACTTCATTAAAATTCACATCATTAAATTCACTTAAGTGAATTTAAAATGACCAACAGTCATTCAGCATTCAAAGTAAATGCACTGAGCACCCACTGCTGTCTAGGCACCTTGAAAAAAAGGGCAAAATCATACATGAGAACTAAAATGGAATTTAGAACTGTGAGAAAATTTATCATAAAATCCTAATATTTTCCTGGAGAACAGTCTATAACACTTAATAAAAATATACCATAGATTAATATGCTTCTTCTATTCCAGCTGCTTTCTTTTATCATCCTGACTTGAACTTCTATACCTAGAAGATGTTACCTCCTAAGAGAAACTGGTTACAGTACAGCACAACACAGTTTCAAAAATATATATTTTCAATGCAGTTTCTACCTGGACTACAAAATGTTTTCAACATAGGTTCTTTTCATGAAATGTCACATTCACCTTATGGTTGAAAACTGCAGTCATTCCCAAGCACATAGACAGTTGTGAACAGAAATAAAAAAAAGAAAAAAGAAAAATTTATAATAATTAAAAAAAAAAAAGAAAGAAAACTGCAGTCATATTATCCTAGATCCACATTAACTTAAAATATCACTTTGTATCATGTCTATAACGTAGCTAGAACCTTTTTTAATAGATCGAATCCTCTTAATAACTATTTTTCAGATTGTGATTTGAAGATAAGAACAATCTTTCACAAATAACCTGTGCTAAGAGTTATATATGAATATGTAAAATAACGAATGTACTTATTTTACATTTGGGGAGCTAAGGTGAAGAGATGTTTGAGGTCTCACACAAGTGACTGTAAGGCATCTGCTCGAATTCTCAATTCAACAGTCCAGACATAAGATTATACCCCTTCTCAAAGCCATCAAACAGAAGGTAGCATTTCTAATTGCCTCCAAATTTCAACATAAAAATATAATACACATCACAAGTGGATTTCTAAACTTCAAAAATGAGTTTTATCATTGGTCACGATTTGTTGTTTAGTACTTTTCCAAACTATGCTCATCTTTCTGTAGCTATCAGAGATAAAGAATCACAAGTAAAGACTTTGAATACATAAGATTTTCAAGAAGAAAAGGATCTTGGAAAACAGAATCTTAAAATTAACCTACATTTCTTCATGTGATATTTAACACACTATTCTGTTGTGAATATTTAGTTATGCCGGAGACTTATGAACACTCTTTGCTTCCTAAATATTTAGAGCAACAGTGTCTCAAGGAGGCAATCCGTTTGCAGTCCTACATGGGTCTAATAAAATGTGTGAATAGTTTTATTCTGCTGCACTCAATTTTACAGTTCCTAAAAGTCTTTTGGGACATCTTTTTCAATATGCTTCTGGCCTTATCCATTTCATTCTTTGAATTGATTTTCTTCAGTGAACTAAAGCATTCATCACTTTTCACCAAATAATACACATAAAATTGCAATTTTTTATCATCTTGTGAATAATATTGAGATGTATCCCTTGTCAGGTCAATCTTGAGATGAAGATTCAATGTTTTCCTCTGAGGATCAAAAAAATAATTCAAAAGACATACTGAGCTCTATCATTTAAGCTCTCTTATTAACAGTCTCAATGGTGTTTAGGCTTAAATCTCTCCAAATTTCAACATAAAAATACACTACATGTGGATTTCAAAACTTCAAGTTACAGACAGAAGCTTATTACAGCAGCCAAAATCTAATCTGAATGCTTATTTTGATTTCTTTACACTACCCCAAATCAAATAACTTTTGTTGGGCAACTGCAGGCACTCAGCTGAGTCAATGAACATATTTCAGACAGCTGCTTCTTGTTTATAACCTAAAACTATTTTTGCTGAAGGAAATACAGGTTGTACAAAGAAAAAAATTAGGATCCCCCCCCCAAAATCAAAAGACTATGTTTTACAGAAAGGCAGCCATTTAACACATTTAAGGATGAAACAGCAACCTGAACTATACACATAAATGTAAGAATACAACTAACAGATATTCTTCAATTAACCCCGTTTTTTGAAAAATTGCTTTTAGGAAAAAGTGACAAATTATAAAAAGCTGACACAAATTAAAAAAATAAATAACCTCCAAAGAATGTCTTGTACAGAGAGTGGAAAGGTGGGAGGTGGAAATGTATGGTGTTGGCAGCGGGCAATTCATTGGGTGATGGTACCTACTTCTTCAGATCTCCAATTCCTTCTATGTGGTATATATTTTTAAAACTGTATAATAACCATTAATCACTAAAGTGATCCTCCCATTAAAAAATAAGCTTCCCTCTACTATTTATTATTAATTCAATCAAGTATACTAAACATTTTTGCATTTACAATGCAAATATTAAAATAAAAAAGTCTCTAGCTAACTTTCAATGAATAAGAAAATTAACCAAAATGCTTCCTTCCTAAACATTCCAGTTTATTACACATTTTTTATACTTTTTTTAATTGAATATAATAATTATACATATTTATGTGGTACATAATGATATTTCTATCTGTATAATGTATAGTGATCAGATCAAGGTGATTAGCATATTATCTCAAACATTTATCATTTGTGTTGGGAACATTAAATAACCTCCTAGCTATTTGAAACTATATATTATTAACTACAGTCATCCTATAGTGAAACAAAACACTAGAACTTCTTCCTTCTATCTAGCAATAATTTTGTAGCTTTTAACAAACCTCACAATTTTTATTCTTGATAACTAAGATATTAATTTCATTTCTTATACACTAATACTATTTGGTGGAAAATATTATTTCTTACTATATGTAAATCAATATGAAATATATTAGTTGCCTATTTTGTTAACTGATACTTCTCTAAATTATTAGAAAAGAGCATTTTCTCAAATGCTATGATTAAGAAATAGTTAAGTATAATTAGCTAATTCTAATACATAACATCTGAGTCAAATTCAGGTATATGATATACAAGCAAGTGTGTATATAAGAATGTATATGAATATAATCCTAATCTGGATCCATTTAATAATTCCTAAGAAAGTAATATATATATGTTATTATATATATAGTAATATATACATATATAGTAATATATACATATATTACTATATATATAAAGTAATATATATTATTTTATATAATAATATATTTACTATATATTACTTTTTATATTATATAATATATATATATAGATATATAAATATATAATACTATATGTATACTATATATATATTATACTATATGTATACTATAATATAATATATATACTATATATAAAGTATATATAATACTTTATAATTACTATATATATTACTTTATATATATATAATAATATATATTACTTTCTTAGGAATTATTAATATATAAATATATTATATTAAAGTAATATATATTACTATATATATATTATATGCCAAACAAATAAGACATAAAACGTTCCATCTATACTCCATTTCCATACTTCATGAGTCAGAACAGGAATGTGGAAAGGCTTGGTCTTGGCAGTCAGGCATGGCTATGAATTTTGACCACTACTAGCTATCTAATCTGAGGGCCTCCATTCATTTATCTATGAAAGTAGGCTAGTATCTACTTTATGGGATGGTGAGAATGAAAACATCATAAATGTGGGAAAATCTCTTTTAGAGTGCCCCATATATGCTGCCTTAAATACTTACTTTTAAAAATGCATATTTCCTTACTTCTTCAAATCCTTTGGTACCACTTCAGCCCAAAATATGATTACAGTAGCTTCTAAATGATAATCTCCATTCCAAACGAATCTTTGTCACATTTATTTACTATCATACTTCATACTTCGAGCCTTTCACTCCCTGAATTCAAACCATTCAATAACCATTTACTTAGATTGGTATTTCACAACATTTTTGTGCCCCCTCCTGCCTCATTCCCCAGCCACATGCTCAAACATAGCTCTGAACCCCAGAAGATTTATTGAAGGCCCAGCTTCCTGCATACGAGTGGTTTTTAGCTTCTACCGCTTGCCCAGAGATTCCTTATCTAACATGACCTTTTTCTCTTCTTCTCCATTCACATCAAATATGATCTTAGGCAAAATAACTTCTCCTTCCTCAAAATTTCTTAATTCTCTACAGCATGAGCCATAAAGTACCTTGTAACCCTCTTCCAATATTGTCTCAATTGATAATTTCAAATCTGTGACTCCTAGCCTCTTACCTCTACTCGTGACACAGCCGCCTCATCATCATCATCATCATCATCAGTAGTAGTTTCTTAACTATAGATGAGTTTTAAACACAAAGTCCCCATTGATGATCATAGATTTAAATCCTTGAATTAAAATTGTCCATGGTTTATCCTTTCCACAACTGTAACCTCTGCATGTGGGAGAGGGAGTGGGGAAGGATAGATGTTCATTATTCTTCTTTGAAGTCCCCACAAAAGCATAAAGGAAGAAAGAGGAGAACACAATCCCATCATGATTTCACAACCTTACCAAGTACAAAAAATAAGAGTACAAAAAATACAAGAGGAAAACTGTCTTGGAAGTGATTTAAATAATTTCAAACAAATCAACAGAAGTCTGGTGCATTTTTTTAAAGTTTGAAAGAAAAGGGAAGATACTCAAATCGATCCTTGATTAAGCCCCAATAAAAGCAGAAAAAAGGCTGTCTTGATGAGTTTTAATCCCAAAAGAACGGCTGACTGTACGACTCCATTCAGTGAAAATCAGGGCCATCCCTGCCTTGGCAATGAGACCTAGAAATTCTGATAGTTCCAGAGCACCACCTTCCCTAGGTCCAGGGGGGTTCTTAGCAGCTAGCAGGTTACTAAGTGATGACAATGCAAACCTTGTGTTTACTGGGCACCTCTAGGCTCACAGAAGCAACATTGCTATCTACCTAGTTATAATAAGCACACATCTATAGGTGGTATGTAAAGGTTAAATAATAATAGCAAATAATTACAAATGGATGAAAACAGCAGCCAAGAGTCCTCTAAGTTCAAAACAGACCTTAATCTAAGGGCTGATAATGATATCTAAAGATAAAGATAATGATATCTAGGTAAGCTTCCTATAAAGATCTCAATATTCCTCAAAACAAATATCAATATTAAAGTACAGCTGCTCTCCTTTCTGTTCTATTGTTTCTTCAAAAAACACTGATTTATTTTTCAGATTTATTATAACCTAGTCAGCCTTTTAGAAGTGTAGATTTTCCAGTTAAGATAATGAATTAGGTAATACACTAGGAAATTAACTTCAGAAAAACTGATTCATTGTTCACTTCTTTTTCACCAAAATTACAGACCCATTTGAACATTTAACTGGTTTTTTATTTAAATACAAACTCCCAGACAAAATGAATATTGTTATTCCTGCAACACCTAAATTTGAATGAAGCTATTCAGAACTATTTTAATAAAATGCTTTTTAATAATATAGATAAATCTGTTTTGGTATACTTCCTTGAATAATTACATAAAGCTCAACTTTATGTAAAATATTTGTTACCAACTTTGCTGTGTAACAGATACAAAATAGGAATATAAATTAAATATGTAGCTCAAAATTTATTAATTTAGCATTTTAAAAACTTTTTCCAAATTAAGCCCATTCAATGTAGAATATGTCATAAATGTATTTCCTAGCCTCCTCATAAAAAATATTTTATAGCACATGTTTATATATTTATAAACTTTTCTACCATATTTAAGGATGGTCCAATTTACTAATACTAAAGTTTATTTTTAATATTTAGTACAACTTAAATCATTAGTAAATATATAGTTCTCTCTCAGAAGACATTAAATTAAAATAAGAATACTAAATGAGCATTGTAGGTTTTATGTAGCACTTTTAAGCCTGTCTAAATTAATAAAATACTAAGTGAATTAATTCTATAAAAGAAACTTTTATCACCGATAATTTAAAACATTAATGTGAATACTCAGGTCAGACCTTTTACATTAATCAAAGGTACAATATAATAATGGTTAGAGTGAGCATTCTCTTATCAGCAAAATTTTCATGTCAGGTAATTTCTCCCATTTTTCCCTTCCTAAGCATAAAAGGATGTTTCTTTCCTTGAATTCCTGTGGAACAAAAAGTAATCTGTTCTTCTTGAGATAGGATGGTCTTAACTGCTTCTCTAGAGAACTGAACACTTGGCATAATATGTTTTCTTAGAGTTTTGTCAAGTAAGCAGTTAGGAGAGGTGAATTATCACAGACAGTCTGGCTTCTTGTTTCTCGTGACTGTAGAGCCCAGTGGATCTTCGGTGTTTTATGTGTACAGAGAATAGGGGTGGGAAGTTAACAAGTAGGCTTTCAATAATAAGTAATTTAACATTAAAAAATGAAAATATTTTTAAAATTCCAAATTTGATTAAGAATTAAGTTAATGTTACTAAAAATAAATCCTTCATTAAAGAAGTTTCTCCTTTTTCATTTTTTCAGTTGCAAAATTCTTGCCTTATTCTCCTCTTAGTCTAAAACTTGCCAGATTTACAGGGAATTTTCATAAAGCAGATCCATAACATCATGAGATTAGATTATTTTGTGTCCCTTCATGAAGGTCAGAAAGAGCCTATACTTGGCCTTGGTTATTAAAGGTCAAACACATAACTCTCTAGCCAGGACCCTTAGCAGTGATTAAGCCGTGTTTACAGAGTTAAGAGGAAGCTGTGTCCCCTGCCCTGTGTAGCCTGATCTCTGGCACCTTTTGCCTTTGCTGCGGAGTTCAGAGGCACTCACAAAATGGATCCAGGACAAGTAGCACGTTTAGAAAACACTAGTCACATGAGAATCTGAAGACTCCAGTAAAAAGTGGTTTAGCACTAATCCGTCTTAGGTTAGAATGGGAGTCTCTGCAATAGCGATGGAAAGACTGAATGAAGGCAGCAAGGAAAAGAAGTCAAGCCCTCACCATTTACCTGGGGTCAAGGTGTCTGTAGTAGAGGAACCACAGCAGAAAGAAAGGAACAACTTGCCCCCAGCATCAGAAGAAAACAGACTCACTGACTCCAAGGAAAGGCCCAACAGGAAAAAACCAATAATGACTTAAAGATGGTAACTGGAGTGTGAGAAAAGACATGAGGTTAAACTGTAGAGCAAGTAACAAAGGGTAGAGCGAGTTGCCCTGGTCACAGTGGTAGGGCACTGTGGTTGGGGGAAGTGCCCCACTGTGGTTGGGGGAAGAGGAGGAGGAGCAAGAGGGCAGGAATGAAGCTTTTGCACTGAACAATGACTGATGAATGAAATTGGGAAACTAGAGGCATTTATTATACTTCCTGAAAGAAAGATAAATGTATTCTTTCTCTTGAACAAATCAACCCTAAATAACAAAGGGAGGAACGGAAGTTTGACATATGCCCTACTTGCTGGGGTTATGAGAGACTAACTGTCAGGTCGCTGTGACCAATTATGGGCCTAAAGCCTGGGAAGGTAGATAGATTTGGGCTCTGGTACTGGTACCCAGAGACATAATGAGAAAGTATTCTTCATTTTAATTAGAAGAAAGAATACAAAATGTTGGAATCAAAAGGAATCTTATAGATCACTGGTGTATCACTCTCATTTTTCAAAAAAGCAGACTGAAGTTCAAGAAGAAATGACTTGCTTACTAGCAGTCAAAAAAGCTACTTACTAGCAGAGTTATTCACAGTACTCATTATTTTTGCCTAGTGCTTTTAGGGAAATTATTGTCACTGGGTGTGAGTAAGGCATTTCAGTGCTTATTGCATTTACAAGCTTTCTTTTCTACGTTCAATAAACATCTACTGAATGGTAGGTATCAGGCAATAGGCTAGATTCTGGTATATGTCCCTGGAAAACCTCAGAAAATAGATGTATTAGTGACAACAAGCTTGACAAAAGGAAAAATATTGAGATCAATCAATTCAAATTATGAACCACCAAGTATCCATATTATGAGGTTAGGAGACATTTTTAATATTAAGAGAAGAACAGGATGTTCAGGTATAATCAGATACCAAAAGAATCATTGGATAAGAAAAATAAAGGTGAGTGAAGGACAGAAAAGGAGAAAATGTGGCAAATATAACTTGAATCATTTACTCAAGCTTTTGGAACTTTTGCAATGCAGAACAAAACATGGAGAGATCAAATCATTGCAGCTTGCAAACAGTCCTCTGTGGGTCACTCTTTCTCTATCTCAACTCGAATTAAGGGAAAAAGAAATCAGTAAAGAACATGTACATTTTTCTGCACAAACTGTCTTTAGAAGTCAGGAACAGCTGACAATATTCATTTATCGTAAGAGAACATTATATTAGTATGATATGGTTTTCTGGAAGAAAAAAACTTAGTGAGCAAAAACATACCTAACTATTTCAGGATATCTAGACTTAAATGGATTTGAAAAAGGGGTGAGTGACAACTGGAAAGCATACAGAAATAAAAACAGCTGCTGTAATGAATAAAACTAACTTTAAAAAAATGAGGGTCATCAGGGTTTTTGTTAAGATGGTGTTATAAGCAACTTAAAAAAACTCTTTCCCTTCTTAAACTTCTGCCCAGATACAGTAACAGTCACACAGAGGACCATTCTTAAAGATATGGTGAATATATTAAAAATCTAATAATTTTCAAGAATTACTACAGTTAGAAAGAATACTTACATTCTGTTACTAGGAGTATAAAATGCAACAAGTTCTATGAAATTCACTTGGCGTTATATTGTGGAGTTTGGAGTTGGGCATATCCTTTGACCTAGCAGTTCTACTCCTGAACATACATCCTAGAGAAATAACATATACATAAGGAGGGCATATATAGGACTCTTAATAATTTTTCCCCTGCAGACTTATTTCCAATAACATAAAAAATGTAATAGCCTAAGTTGCCGTCAAAAGAAAGTAAATAGTGATATTTTTATGCAATGAAATATTAGATATCTATGATCATAAATGAATTACAAGTATAGCAAGGATGACTCACAAATATGTTGAGCAGGAAAAACAGCTGTTGCAGAAGAAAACAAATATGGTATTTATATAAAATTCAAAAACAAGCAAAACTTAATATAGTGGGTACATAAATATGTAAAAAACTATAAAGAAAAACATGGAAAGAATAAGTTCAACATTCAGGATTGTATGGACTGTGGTGGGAGGTAAAGAAAGGTGATGAAATATGGGCAAGACACAGAGAGGACTATTATTACAAAGCTACTGGTAATGTTCTATATCCTAGGCTAGTGGTAGGTACTCAGTTACTCATGTTAATGCTATTCTTCGTACCTTCTCTACATGTTATAAATATTCTCATATACACAGCTTATTCTAAATACTGTAGAGAAACACTTATTCTTTAAGAAAGCTCTCAAAAATTACACTACATTTAACTATTTAAAAGGTATTTTTAAGAATCTGCAAGTAACAAGTACCTAGCCATATACTCAGGACTTTACAAAATTCTCTTTTTTAATTCACACTACTCTTTGAGGGAAATATTTTCATCCTTAGTTTACACATAAGGAAACTGAGATTCAGTGCTATTAAGTATATTGCCCAAAGTTACATAGCCAGCAGAACTGGGATTCAAACCATATCCAACTCTGATATCCAAATCTGAAAACCTTGGTACATCTACTATCTAAAACACAAGAGCAAAAATAAATTTCTAACACGAAAATAGAAGACTTGCTATACTGCGGTTTACTATTTTAATTCATCTCAGCATTTAAAATGCAACCCTGAATCATGGTCTAATAGTTTCTATTAATTTTATGTCACAGTACTTCTTTATTACTTTCTATAATCATAATTACACATAAACTCTATAAATTCTAAAACTGGCAACAGATACCAATTATGTTTATGGAAATTCTCAACTTGGCTGTACTTCTTTTCATAACCTAAATTTCTCTAAGACTGGAAGTTTAAGAGAAGTTAGGAGTTGGTGGGCTGACACTCAGCAATCTTTTCGCTCCCTCCCCCTTCAGGGATCCACTCACAGGCAAGTGAACAGGCTTGCCAAGCCCCGCAGAAATTACTCACTTCCACCCTTTCTTTCCTCATCTGCCTTCCAACCATATTTCAAACCCTAATTTTAAACTCATACAAGAAACTTGATTAATACCACCTGGCTTTATCCACGCCATTAACCCTGGAGCCCCTTCAGTACACATACAACACAACTCATTCATATAATTATTTATTGGCTTTTTAATTTGTTGCTGTTGTTCTCATTTGCATGTGTGTCCAGCCTGCAAGAACCACTGAGTTTACAGATTTATTTCTTCTGCCCTGTGCCCTAACTCATTCTTCTTCCCCCAAAGTCATCACCAACTGTGCTCTGAGAACAGTAGGCACTTAATAAATGCTGATTGACTTACTACAGTGGAACAATTCGCTTCTGGTATTTCTCAGTATCCCAGTGAATCCTCCACATCTATAACATGCTGGAGATGATACCAGGTACCGCTAGAGGCTTGGGGTCTT